TGATGATCAGTCTTACTTGAAATATGACACGAGCTTTTTCAAGTAAATATACTTCAATATCGGCACCAGCAATTTTGCCTGAACTACCAAAATGAATTCGAATAAATTTACCCTGAAAAATAAATCAATCATATATACATATATATATATATAGACGTATATAATAAATTAAAATCATGTTCACGTGCATTCATATAAAAAGTTTAAACTAAAATTATTCAAAACACATGCACATCAAAATAGATATGAAAACATACAATAATTGAATTTGAAAAGCTTGTTGGTAACTTACGAATCGAGATGAATTATTGTTACGAGTTGTTTTAGCGTTGCCAAAAGCTTCGAGTACAGGATTCGATTGCACAATTTGATCTTCAAGAGTCATCGATTTCTATGATGTAGAAAACATAAGATGAATATGTAGCTATATGTACATTTAGAAATCAATTATTCGAGAGATAAATATGCATTTCTAGTCGAGACTATAACATACATATGTATGAGAGTTATATTGTAATATGCAATGCATTAGGACCCAGTCATGATTATATCGATGGACATTGCGAAAGATAATTTTTCAATCGCATGATAAAACTAGTTCGATATGATCAAAATATAGTTTAAAAAGATGTGAACTGAATACTTAAAAAGAAGAGTCCCAATACAATTTAAGAAGTATTATATTAAATTTTAGCATTCGATCTTATTTACAAAAGAATAACTTGTATATTCTGTTTGAATTGATCAATGTTAAGAGTAAATTCCAAGTACATTACCTTGCCTTCTTCTTTCTTAGTACTAGCAGCAGCAACCAATGCGAAATATTGAATAACTTTTTTGGTATTTTCTGTCTTTCCAGCACCTGATTCACCTGTGATTAACATTGATTGATTTTCACGATCTAAAAAAGAAGAACCAATGCTATCAAGATCAAGGCTTTATTTTAACTAGTTTTTATTTGTTTTCATTAACATTCACAAATGAGATTTTTCAATATTTATTTTAATTTAATAAAACAATTTTTATTAAATTTGTTGCTACGAATATTCTTAATCTCGTTCTATGTTAGTTTATTGCTTTCTACGAAACACTTATCTTGAAGATAACTAGTCCTTGTCAATCAATTATGTGTCAACAGTAAATGATTCTTCCTCATTAATAAATTTTTATCGCACTTGATGATTATAAATATGGAGGCATTAACAGATACACCATAGTAGTCTATTTTAGTAGATGGGATTTTTGTTATAGCTGGCGGTTCCTCTTTTCATACATCTCATTTATCTTTGTAGTATTCATCTTCTTATAGTGTCGACATGGTACTGTTGTTGATAGGTGATGTATTATCTTACTGTCTTTGCTCCTACGTATTCTGTAAAAGAACCAGTGAATAAATATGTCTGATACTGATTCTAGAACATCAGGTGTAGAAGTCGACATCAATTTGGTCTATTTCTCATTTGATATTATCTTTAAAAATAGAAATAAAAATATTAATTATATTTTCTACTTACCACGAAGCATATTTGAATATGCATTATCAGAAATAGCATATAAATGGGGTGCTACTTCAGTACGTTTTTTGCCACGATACATCAGTACAACTTTCATTGTATAAATTGGTAAACGTTTGTATGGATTGATAGCAACACAAAATAAACCTGAATAGGTCTAGAAAAAAAAAGAGAACATTCAAAATAAAGGTGTTAACAAAAAATAAATAAACTTACATAGATGAGCCATCTTTGATAGCGGTCACGTAAATTGTGTAGGACAGAAGCATCATTTAAGTAAGTTAAATTAGCCATATCATCGCAACATGTATATTTAGGTGGATTCATCTGTTGTATATCATCCTTTTTCAATGTAACACTCTAAATAATAATAAATAGAGCACAAGTTATTTTTCCTAAATGCTTTTCTTGTGAAAATTTTACATACGTCTCCTTTCGCTGTTTTGACTGTTACTTCTTCACCTTTAGTACTGGTAATTTCAGCAGCAATAAATGAATCTTTCGTGTCGGGTGCCCAACATTGCTTTTTACCGTCGAATGGTTGAGCTTGAAGTTTGATACGTTCTTCAGGTGACAGTGCTAAATATGTTAGTGAGTCTTTCAATTCAGGATCATTTGGATCATAGACAATGCTGAAAACAAAAATTTTATTATACCATTTCGTTTCAAATGTATCTTACCCTTCGATTGACATTATTGTTTATTTATTGTTCCGAAGAGCTGTTTCGAAAAAAAACACAGTTTGTAAAAGATATTTTATTAAATTCTATCAAGTTTGCAGATGATTCTTCGTCTATACCTTTTCTCAACTTGATATATGTATGTATCGTTCGTAGTTGGATTTATGTGAAACAGTTGTTTAGTTAAATAACAAGTAGTTATATAGCTACTTCGGTGCTGGTCGAGAGAGAAAAACGATTATTGATAAGAAATATATATATATTCTCTCTTTTTTTCTCTATCTTACTGCCGACTACATGAATATACTTTTGTTGGTTGGCTAAACTAAACCGGATAGATATCCAAAAGCGGCATCACTAGTTTCCAGACGAACAACAATATTCACTCCTGTCCCTTTTCTCTCCCCCCTTCCATTCTTCTTCCCTCCCCCTGTCGACCATCGAAAATGTAGCAAAAGTTTCAACGCTTATTATATAATGAGAATGATGATTAGCTACAGAAACTTAGACACGGAGAAGAAAAGCTTGATCGGTATTTTCTTCGTCTACAGAAGATATTTATGGAAAGGAATAAAACAAGTAGTCGATAAATTTTTCACACGTCGACTATAAATTAACTGCAACGAATCTCGATATTCTACATTGATAATATAAACAAATAATGTAGACAACAGAGAATGTGTATATCATTTCTGTATTCAATAATGACTTCATATGTTTATCTGTTTATAGATGTACTCGTGCCATTGATTATATCGAATTGAACAAATGCGTGTATTTTTTGTTTATTATTGTTTGATCATAGAGAAAGTATCATAGATAATTACACTAATCTATCCCAAAATACAACATGAATGCTGAATATCACATAGATATTCTAATTTATCTTTGTATTAAGATGTAAAACTATAGACCTACTAAATATAGAATACATTCACATGTACAGTCAAGAACATCAATATTAATATACGTATATAAATATAGTTGATAAAATAATGTTACAGTTATTTACAACTGTATCACATAGAAAAGTTCAATCAACTGTGATTTTTATCGATGTCTCTGGTGATTATATTGAAGACAAAAATTAAGCAATCTCTTGTTTTCTTATTTCAAGTCGTATGTCTTTAATAATCTACAATGAGAAAGAAGATCTCTTCATTGTTTGTTGTTATTATTGAAATGATCTCGATGAATAATGATCGATAACGATGATAGTATGGTTTTATTTTAACCTAATACAAAGTCTATTCATACGACAGTCACTCAGTCAATCAACACAAGTATCAGTTGTGCTTGAGACAAGCGTAGCATTTGATTCCATCAATCATCTTTTACTATTATCAAGAATATTATTTATGTTTATACATAAGACTTGAAAGATATAGATTAACATTCGATTATTATTAATAGGATGGTTTGAAACGAATGCAGAACATGAATGCAAATATTTTTACAGTCTTCTAAGAAAAAAGTATCTTTTATTTTTACTTGTATTGATCACAGCGATAAAATTTTATCAAATGGCCAGCCTACACAATCGAGTCGGCTGTTTCTCAGATGCTACATAATTAGCTTTATCAGTGTTGACGACTTCATAGACAGATATGCTTTGTGTGGCTTTTTTTTCTAATTTTGGCGATGACATATTAATATTCGAAGACAGGTCAATTAAAAGATTATTTTTACTGTCGCAAAGCTACTACTCTCTGACTTTTATGAAATTCGACTTTAACAAGAAGAACTCTGACAATAAAATAATATTATTGTGTAGTATTTCATACAGATAATATCCATAATAACGTCACATAAATATTTCTGATCGAATCAGAAATTTAGACAATACGATTATTCTCGTATAGAAACAAGTTTATCTCGGTTCATGGACATGTTTATATATTCATCCTTGTTTACTTGCAAGTACATACAGGTTGATCCAAAACTGAGAAAAATTGTCAGTTTGTTTTCAGCTAAACATAGGTTTCATATTTGGAACACATATGCTAAGAAACAATACTCATAGAAGCAGTCTATAATTAGTCTTTGTTCGAAAGAATTCATTTTTGAAGATATATAATTATATCTTTCTCGTTTGGTTATTTCAAAATTTGACAGAATTCTTGTGATAAGTATGCTTTTATCTCTTTTTCTGACTTTTTGCTAGCATAGATACAAAAGTTCAAGGCTCATTAGACTTTTTACATAGAAAACTACTTAAAAATATCAGAAAAAGCAGAAAAATCAAATGACTTCGATTGGAAAAAGAACAAATGAGAGGTAGACAAACAATTTGTTTTCACTACGTCTCATTCCCAAAGATCAATAATACACTATTTATCAGAGTGTTTTCTCACGTTGATGATATTGTTTCAACTCTCAGTTAGAGTATCAGATATAATCTGAACAAAGAAAAATTCAGCATGTTATTAACTACAGAAACAAACAAGTGCACACCTACATGCTCACTATCTTTCATTTAGGAAGTTATTTAGTACGGCAAGTCGAATTAAGTTTGAATGAATAGCTAAAAATTAAAGAAAGAAGAAACTTATCATTAGCATACGAATTTTACATTTATTTCTAATAGATTATATTCGTCATTTATGTATTACGTCATATGGCTTAATACACTTTTTAAGACTCCACAATTTCAGCTCTATTCTTTCTACTGAAGTTCAAATTACAAGGTAGTATCGATGACACGACAAAACAAACTGAACATATAAATCGTATTCGGAATTAGTATGGAACAGTCTTATTTTATAATACAAAAACAAAAAAACAAAAACAAAAGCTAATTTGAAAATCATCGCCGATTTCGTCGCTTTCTTTCAAGAACTTGTCTAGCATCAGTGGCAAGTGCCGATGTATCATTATCTCCATCATTACTACAATACGAATAATAAAAATCCTAGTGATCTTTTAATAAAAACATTCTATTCTTACTTTTTATTTGCTTTTGACGTTTCATGAGTTTTATTCCGTGAATGTTTTGTATGTTTAGAGGCTGGATCAATGGTTACAGTAAAGTGAGGTTTTTCTTTATGTTGACGATCCTCATCAGTATCTTGTGATCGTCGCCGTTGTCGTTTCGATCTATGTTCTCCTTCATCATCTTCTTCCGTTTCTCGACTAGGTGAACTCTTTTTTGGAGGCAGGACAACCGTAAATTTAACTTTGCCATTAGCTGTACTATCCTCTGTTGCTGTTAGTTCTTCCATGGCACTACTGGATTGAGATGTTGGATTATTCGATTTGGCAACAGTAAAATCTCGAAACGGATTTAATTTCGTTGGATTCAATGAACGCTTTTTTGAACAAGATATCAGACTAGTTATGTTACTAATCAATAGGAAAAAATTAATATTCAAAATTCAAACAAAAACATTTTTTTTTCTCACTTATAATTAGAATTACCAAATTGTCGATAGTAATCAGGTTGACTTTCAGCTCCACGTACTTTTCAGCCATTCATTGTTGTAATTCTGTATAAAATCATTCATATTTGAATTTTAATAGTAGCAATATTTATGTTGCTTTATGAAATTTTCTCTTCTAAAACTATCCATCTAATATCTCAATATTGAAATCTATGTTAGATACTTAACAAATTTCCTACAGAATCTTTGATCATCAATGAAGATTTTAACTTGTCAGTTTGTAAAGACGTCCATATCATTTCGTTGGATTTATTAAAAGATTATTTGTAGCTATATATTTGAGAGATTCTAATGTTCAAAATCTTATATGAATATGAAATATTGCTTCCAGAAAACAACAAAAGGTAGCTTTTTCGTAGAGAATTAAGTTCTCAATTAAAACAATTGGACGGCAGGATATCAAATGTTTATTCAATGTTTAAATGACTTTCAATAAAAACCGTCCAGTCATTATACTCTACGGATTATATACAGAGGTTAAGAAAATTTTTCAGAAAAGTATATAGTATTAAACAATTTACTGTTAATTGACATAACACATTTATTCTTCAAATGATGGGTTGGCTAGTCGAAAGATTTTGAAGTGGGATCCTAGAGATAATTATGCGCTAGTATAATTTATAAACGGATTTGAAACCACTGTTCAAACAAAACAAAAAAACATTTAAACCCAATCAAATGAACTACCTTAAAAATAGTTTTCAAAGTAGAAAAGATAAAAAGGGTTTAATGTAAAGTGACAATGAAGTTTGGCTGCCGGAAAAAAAGATATTGACAGGATATGATGTGATTGACATAAAACTTCGTTTAGTAAAACATTAAATAATGTCCTACAAAAATTGGTATACTATACGTTTGTTAACATATAATGTATCAGATGTTAAATTATGTTTTATTCCATTTAATTCGGCTTTACTAGTTGCATCATAAAAATGAGTAAGTTACAGAGAGAACTCCATACGATAATTTTAGAGAGAAAACTAGTATGAACTGTTTTTGATAGGAGATTGATTAAGCGTACTTATTACAGTCATAGTAACAAATATAGTCACTTGTAAATTTCAAAGATGAATGAATAATAAGATCAATTATTATATTTGAAGTGAAAATAACCAGTAGTTTCCTTTTGTTTATGTTTAAATCCAAATATTAAAGTAATTTTCTTCAATTGGAAGAAAGGAACTTTAATACTTTAACTTTCTGCTTTTAAAGATGAAAATAAAATATATTGATACTTTCATTTTATAATTGTATTGCGTCAATCATTTGATATAATTTGATTAAAATCGAGAGACAAAATAGCAAAAATAAGAAATAAGGTTGTTTATGAGAAAAAAAATCGAATTTATATTTAAAAGTTTCATTGCTAATTTGCTTTGTATCTATATTCTTCTCGCCAATAGGATTCAATGCAACTCCCAGGTCGTAGCGGTACGGCTGGAAACAACCGGAAAATACTGAAAATCGCTGGAAGGTGGAAGCAGTATTCCGGTCGGAAATTCCGGGGATTTTTTGTGGAGCTCACATATATTTTCGAAGAAAATGGTAACTGTAAGTTTAAAAGCGAGATTTTTGCGGCGGGGGGGGGGGGGCGGGGGGGCGGGGGGGCGGGGGGGGGGGGGGGGGGGGGGGGGGGGGNTCTCTCTCCCCATGGCAGACATTAATGAGTTTAAAATTGTGCTAATTAAGAGCTTCAGTAATTAGGCTGCTATTTCTTCCTTTTTTAATTACAGACTACACGAAAAAGGCAATGGTTGCCCATTGCAGACCATAGAAACTAGTCGCTGCCATTGTTAAATATGCAAGCTAACAATTTATATACTCCATTACAGACATAAGCAAATAGGTAATCACTTAATTATAGGTTTTGGAGATCAAGGTAGATTTTTCAGATGAACTATTTTGAATTGTTTTAGTAAGCCTAATGGATGTATGTGAGTTCCATATTTTAGCCCCAAGGGGGCTGCGCTAACAAGCTTTTTTCGGTGCATTCTGGTCAACTTCCAGTGTTTTCCTCCGGAATGCGGTGATTTTTCCGCATCTTTCCAGTCGGTTCCTACAGTATCCGGTAACCGAAACGATCGATCTGAGCTGTTTTCATTTTCGTTTTCCTCATTTCACCTCTGCTGTTATACATATTCATAAAAGATGATAGAACAATGAGGAAAAGAAAAATATTCATTGTTTTTCGTTCATTGGTCTCATGTTTTAGTTCAATATGATATGTACATATAAAGGTATCTGTTATATATGTATACTCATTATTTATCCTTTCTCAACGTTCTAAAATGGCTGAATGCATAGAAGTAAGAATGAATATTGACACATGTCAATTTTTCTTTTATTTATTTTGTGTGAGTGATAATGATTTGGCAGCATAATAAGAAATAGTTGAGTTAAGGAACTTCATGGAGTTACATATAGAAATATCGAAAGATGAATCATATAGATCTAATTTCAATCTTTTTTTTTCTAATTCTAACCCGTTTAGACGTTCCAAGAAAAATAAATTGAATAGAAAAATTTTCTTTCGCAAATATTTCAAATTGAATAGATTTCAATCCACGCAATATTATCGATATTACTGAGCATTTTTAAAAGATCTAAAGCGTATTATTTTTTTATCATACTCGGCATCCATACTAAAAACATTATTTCATTACACTAGATGACAGAACAACTGACTATTGTCCTCAGAATGAAATATCTTTGAATGCTTTGTAAGATTTTTCAAAACTTGAGCAGCATAAGTGTTGAGAAATGCCAAAAAAGGTACATCTTGTGAAATTTAGCAAAATTTCACTGTGTAGATAATCAATTACGATGTCATAATGTACTTGAAGATCATTGACATTTAGAATTCTTTTTTCTCTGAATCTAACGAAGATGAAATTCTATTCATGTGTTTTGTAGGGTGTTCTATGACTGATCGAATCCAACCCATTCTAGAGACTAGACCACATTATTGATGAAAAAATTGTCTGCTAAAAATTTACTGTGATTTAGTTTTTCTACGAATGTTTTTCGGCATATTTAAATCTAGAAAAAAAGCTCGAATTTTTCTTATGGATCTATGATGATTTTCAACTCATAAGAGAATACACAGTATTAACAATTTATTCAAATGTGCATGTCTATTTGTTCGTTTTTGTGTTTTCTTTCTTTTTAATATCAATTGTTAAAGGATTAAATTGAATTGAAACTCGTTATATTAACGAGAAAATATAATATATTTAACAAGTTGTTTATCATTTCCACAACTTAAATTTGTTCGATTTTTGTTCTTATTCCTAATCTGTTTTAATTGGAATAATATTTAGAAAGCTATGACGAAAATTTTCTTGAATGCCCAAATGATCTCTTGAGATTTCACGAGAAATAAATCACTGGTGTAGTTTATCAAATGATTAACAGGGCTCATGTCTTCGTATGAGAAAACTAGAAATAATCTTACTTGAAACACTTTGTAATTATTTTTCTTTTTCTTATAGAATGAAGTCGACGTGGCAGAGCGCAAAGATGATGTTTTTTTAAAAGAATTTGGCAATTGCATTCAAATGGAATAGCCATCACTCCGAAAACGGTTGATGAATTAGCAGTACAACTTAGGATTCCGCCGCCACAAGATTAGTTTTTCTTGTTTTTTTTTCTTTTTATATAAAACAAAAATAAAAAGAATATTCAGTTAAAATACTAGATATATTCTCTACTTTGTTCTTTTTATATAATCTTAAAAAGTCATGTCTAAAGATAATGGTTCTATTATTCTAAAAACCGAAATGCACGAATAGATATTATATATATATATATTTTTTTTTCTAGCTGAATGAAGAAGTATCATTAAAAAAATATCATATTTAACGAGATATTATTTACAAGTTAGATTATTAATAAATCTATGAAATCTTTATATTGATAGCCTAGCCTACTTGCTTTTGTATAAATGTAGAAGAATAAAATCATAAGATGTCTATCGTGTTAGGCATGTGAATACTGAGAAATAGCAGTTCTCCATTAATATCGGTGATAGTGCAGAATATTGTATTAGAGTTCAAGTCATCTTTCACATAAGTACAATTCACAGCTTGTATGTTAAAATTAACCAATCACAATTATATTGTCAATATTTGTGATGTCATGCGTATCGTGCATATATCCTTATCCTTCGTATATTCTGTATTGTCACTGTATTCAGGATAAGTCGATTTTCATTGTTTTATTCCTGAAATGAGCTACAAAATACATTTTATGATAATCACAAGATAAAAATCTTAGATCAGTCACTGTTAATAACAGTGTTCAATATTTTACTTTGAATTTATAACAAATCAAGCATATTCTCATCATGCAACTTTAAGGACGACTTAATTTATAGAAATATCTGCATTAAAGCTATTAACATTAATGTCTCTTAATATTGTTTTCTTATATTTCAATATTTGTTAATAATCATATATTTCATTATCTATGACTAATAACATTCATGTCCATAATTATAAACGAAATCTTTATTCAACGATCTTTTCCATATTTTCATACAATCCAGAGGATCCCACAATCCCATGATCCGCTTTTCCTCCCTTGGCTTACATACAATATATATTTCAATTCACATGATTAAGTTTTGTTCTCTGCCACGCCTAACTAGACAATATTTCTTAGCTTTGAATGAAGTTAAATTAATTTTTCTAATTCAATTTTATATCATGAATTAAATTCACGAACTGTTATAGATGCATTTCACATGCAAGTAAGATACTCGTACGATTATTTTTTTTCTTGCCGCTTAAACATCTAAAGATCATTAGAGTATACTGCTATTGTGAAAGAGTAACAGGTGGTTTTTCAGTCACAGGAGACACAATCATATATTATCAAGATTAAACATTAGTTGATCAGTGAAAAAGATTTATTAACGTCGTTTTTATTTTCATATTACCATAAAACCTTGAACAGATTATATAATGTGTCAAACTGTACTATACTGTCAACAGAACAGACATTGATTTGATTCTTCTTGATAAATCTAAC